ATTTGTCATCTTTAAACACTTCTGCACGCCATTTTTCGAACTGCTCTTTCATTTGAGCCAAAAAAAACATTCATATCTTGTCTGACATCTCTGCTACAAACTCTGGTCATCAACTCTGGTTTTCAGTTGAAATTGGAATTGTTAATTTACCCAATAATAGGAGTGCATTGACGATTTTTTCTTAACTCGCAAAAATCTTCAAACAATTTGCTGTCGATTGGTGACAAAATTTTTTGGAAATAATGAAATAGAGGGGATAACGCCTTTTTTTTTCAGAGGTGATTTTTCAAAAATTTATTTTAAAAAAAGTACTAACTAGCAAATGTTTTTTATTAGCTCCCAATTTCCTTCAAAACTACTTCAATGAGGAAAAAAATAAAAATTTGGAATATCTATACATGAGGGGCTAATTGATCGGATCTGTTCCGCCGCAAGTGGCGAGTCAATCTTAACGTTCATCTTCCGCCAGAGGGTGTGAGTGGTGGAAAATAATTTTTCTGGAAGCCATTGCCGTACAATTTTTTTGTTGGTTCCATACATAAACTGAAATTATTCCGTTCGGAGTGGTTCCAGTGATAATTAATCTTTGTCATTAATGAGGAACATTGAAACCCACTTTACACCGTAATGTGAGCCATACTAGTAAGTAACATTCACCTCAATTTTCCTTGCGATATAATGGTGTAATTGTGATGTTATGGCGGAGTAGAAAGATGAAGCCGAAGTGCCTTCATTGATCACCATCCCCCGGCTTCTTCTAGCACAACAGTTTTTGACTTTGATTCGATATCAATCCATTCGTCCACACTCAATTTATAACCTATTACGTGTCATAAGTTGATTGCTATCACTACTACTGCAATTCTAATCCGACTAACCCTTCATCCCGACAATGTTGAAGGTTAAACTCCCATTTTTACCTATTACCTACTAGTATCTTCTAAAATGTACACATTGCGTTAACAATTTTTTTGCGTACAGCTAACCTCAAAATTCCTTATTCTCCCTTGTTAGTGAGATTTCATTATTATTTCCGCAGAATACAATTTATTGATCATGTCCGTGCACTACAAATTCAAGTCCACCAAGGATTTCGATACGGTGTCCTTCGATGGACTCCACATTTCCGTTGCTGATCTCAAGAAGGCAATATTTCATCAGAAACGCCTTGGTAAAAATACGGATTTCGATCTACAAATAACGAATGCACAAACTAAAGAAGGTATGAATGTATATTATTGATTATTATTAATTCTAGGGAGTAGGAATTATAGGCGTTTCCTACGATTTCATAATTGCTTTACATATTTCTATTCATTAATCGTGACAACAGGGAAATGGCCCAAGAAAATGGTAGAAATGGGCCCCTCAAAGCACTTAAAAACTCTGAAACAGACTTAACCCCTCCCGTTGCCAAGACTAACGAGGGTTCAATATCACACACAACTCTTGATGGATGAAAAATTATGAAACCGATATGAAATTAAAGTTATACCATTCAGCTTTCCAACACGTCGGTTGGCTTTCATTATCTCTCCTACACTGAGAGAAAAACGACAAAGTTTTCAAACAAGTCTTACTTGTGCCAAGAAAATAGTTTTCTGAAAATTATCAAAAAAGGTTTTTTTGTGCCAAACAGCCAGAGAGTGCGCCGAGATGAAAAATTTTTGTCGCAAAAATAGATTTAGTAGTTGAAAAAAAATTACATTCTCTGTACGTGCAAGAAATATCCTTTCTATATTTTGCTCCCGAAAAATGTTTGTTTTATGTGAAACAAGGGATAGTAATTTTTCGTTTCGGCTATCTAATTATCACTGACCAGAAATTAACCCTTAAATGAAACAATAATAATGATATGATAGCAATCTTGTCACTTAGGGACAAAATATCAGTTGATAAGTTTTCCTCTGTACGAGATATTTTCATCCTGAAAAGGCACCGTCTGGTGTGAATTATCCCCCTCTTAAACCAAATATTTCGTTGCTGTCGAAAGCAGAGCAATTATTCATGTTTGAGACTTTCAAATTCGAACCAAAGAAATTCTTTTTTGGAAATTTTGTTTTTCTCTCAGTGTAGTTTCGAAACCATCTAATTTTGAAAAAATCGTGCATTTTCGGCTAGATCCATGTGACATCCGGACGGCGTAGATGAGGTGTTAACGATGTTTATCCACTGTCCAAAAATTGATTTTTCCACGTTCAAGAACGATTCTGTAATTTTTTATAATGATGGACGAATATGCTACACTTTGGCAAAATTAAATGAAAGAATTTTGTGTTATGTACGGGGCCGTATGGGATTTATTCTCTGATTGATAATTATCGTCCAAAAATAAAAACAAAAATTGGAGGCACTGTGGGAAAATATCATGAATCCAATCACGAAGGAAAAACATGGGGTATCCGGACATGTTCAGTTATTCAGAACTTTAAGCCCCATATAAACTCATGCTAACACCTACATTCGGTGTATATTCTCTATTTCATTTCTGAATAATCAACTCGGGGTCGTGGATTCAAATTTTTTATCAACATAAAGGAGATATCAGTTGAGATCTGTCTATCAGTTGAAAAAAAAAAGTCTTCGCGACTTTGGATAAACAGTCTTAATGATATATTTTATCATCCTACGCATCAGTTCTGAAGATTTTCATCATTTAAAGCATTAATTTTACTTCGGAAGTAAAGTTCTGAAACAATATTCGTCAATCTAGTAGTGAATCACATCGTATTGAATGCAAATCTATTTCAAATGAAATGTCAATGTCTTCTGTCGACAATTTTTTCAACTGCAAGATTTCTATGAAATTTTCATTATCGTTTCATTCTTTATCTCCTGTTATAAATTTATATCAACTTGCGCAGTTGTATACTTTCATCCACCTCTCTCTCAGTTTGTGAATAACAGTGACGAACAGTCAATCGCTGTTAATTTTCTAGCTATAAAAGTATGGTTGGCGATAAAAATTTGCAATTCTAAATGATATTCATTCGTTTTGTGCATTGTTCTCATCCAGATTACACAGACGACAATGCTCTGATAGCAAAAAACACGAGCTTGATAATAGCTCGAATTCCCCTGACAGTTCAGCAGAAAAGGTCGTGGGATCGCAATGAGCCCCAGTCCTTCTCAAACTCGAAAGATGAATCTGGCATGGGGCACACAGTGGACCTCACCAGATTGGATGGATCCGAGGAGGATAAAATTCGTGCCATGATGACCCAATCAACCCAGGACTACGATCCGTCGAATTACATGAAAATTCGTGGTGCCAATCAGACTGGTGAGGTTCCACCAAACTACAGATGTTACAAGTGTCATCAGCCAGGACATTGGATCAAGAATTGTCCACTGGGTGCGACTCAAGAGCCCATCGAAATTAAGAAGAGTACTGGAATACCCAGAAGTTTCATGGTGCCTGTGGAGGGGCCATTGGTGCCTGGTGCCATGATGACTCCCACTGGACATTACGCTGTTCCAGCCATTGATCATCAAGCTTACAAAGAGGGAAAGAAGGAGAGACCTCCGTTCTTTCAAGATCCTGAGCCAGCAGCCGAAAAGCCAGAGATTCCAGAGGATTTGATCTGCACTATTTGTAAGGATTTGTTGACCGATGCTGTCATGGTTCCATGCTGTGGGAATTCTTACTGTGATGAGTGTAAGTATTTTTTCATTTAATATTGAAGGTGTAAAATGAGATGAATCAATCGTCTTTAGACTTGAGAGAGAACGATGAAAAAAAAACTTGTCTGCTTGACGAAATTTTGCTCACGAAGATTCTGCTGTCTCCTGTAGATTCATAGACATTCATGAAGAAAAAGCATTCTCAAATTGAGTTGACTAACGGAATTATTTTCTATAGTTTTATGCAAATAATTCATTGTGTACCTATGTCATGAATTAATTATTGTTATTTCTCCAGTAGCTCAGGAAATCCACCAAAATATCCCTTGACTTCTCATAAACGATTCAGTATCCAGATAATTCTCAAAGTTGTCACCTTAATTTAATTGTTCCAATCTTCTATCAATTTTTCACTTCAAATGTTCAAAAACTATTTTGATTATCCTCATTACCCAACGAAAATTATGTCTTTAGGTATTCGATCGTCGCTCCTAGAATCAGAGGAGCACGAGTGTCCAGGTTGCAACGAGAAAGACGTATCCCCCGAGACTCTCATTCCAAATCGTTATCTTCGTGGCAACGTCTTGCAATTCAATAACAAAACTGGATATGCAAAGAAGACACCCTATCGACCAGCTGTTAAGCCCCAGGCTCCAGCCATCGAAAATGAAAAAACTGAGGGGAGCCAGGATGAGCCTCCCCAAGAGCCACCGAAGGCCAGTCCACCCACCGAGGATGCATCAGCGCCAGGGCCTATAGCCTCAGGTGAATAATTCATACTTTGACAATTGCAATAATGATCAGTCGATTCTTCAAGAGAAGCCATCCAGGCGCATGCGCTAGGACAAAGTTTACCTACATTTCATCTGATTTAATGCTGCGCTTAACCTTATATCAACCTTCCCTTTCAGTAAGCCCAAATGTCATGTCATAATGCTAAATTAAAAGGAATTTAATTGAAGAGGAATGATAGTTTCGCTGCTTCATGTTCTCCTTTATGCCTTATTCACACATATTAATTCATATTGAATGAAAAAGATAATGCAAGTTGATGAGAATCCCAAGAATAGTAAAAATATCGATCGAATTAATTATTTTTAGATACGAAAGAATCAACACCTGTGCCAGAAATACCCGAGCACTTTGTGCCACCAGTTGCTGATGATGAGTCTGAAGTAGTTCCACCACCCCCACCTGGCACTGAGCCATTACTGCCAATACCATCAGTGAGTAAATCACCTGCGAAAGAGAGTAATTCCACCGAGGCTCACATTCCTGAGAGGAGAGACCACGAGGATGACTATGGGGGTGATTATGGAGGTGATTACGATGATTATGAAGGGGATAGAAGATCCAGAGAGCGTCACAGGAGTTACAGCAAAGAGGGTCATCGTGAGAGGTTTGTCTCTATTTCATTTTATTTAATTTAACGAGAATAATTGCGAATTACGAGTTTTTGAGTTTTTGTTGTTCTGATTTGAATGATTCGACATTGTGGTCATTGATTTCTTGCAGGACTGGAGATGGAGGCAGACGAATTGAGAATATAAGGTCGATGAATAGGAGGAGGTCTTTGTCCCCCAGACAGAGACAGGATTATCAGTCTCATGGGTCATCACTCCCTCATATGATGAATCAGTCGAAGGGGTATCAGAATATGCCACCTGGTAATCAACAGAGGTATCCGAATATGCATTATGATTCTCAATTGAGGAGGTCGACTGAGGATCGTCCTGGTACACCTACTGTAAGTTTGAACATGTGAATAGTTATTGATGAATTATTGATTCATTCTCTTTGATAACAAATATTTTCGAGGGGAAGAAATCCAGAGAAATTTACCGAGACCTCTGACACGTTTATTTTTCCTCGGATGTGAAGTTATGAAAAGATATTCATCAATCTAATGATGTATTTCGACATAGAAACAAGTGAATTTATCATGTCGCATCGAATGCTAAATTATTTCAAATAAAATGTTGAAGAATGTCGTCTGTTCACAATCTTTTTCGACAGCAAAGATCTCTACATAAATTTCCTTATTTTTTTTTTCGTCATCTTCTGTTATAAATTTATGTCAACTTGTATCGCTTTGCAATTTCAAAATCAAATAATCACTATTGAAGACGACTTTTTTTTACAAGATTTTATGGACTACGACAGAAAAGTGGTGATATTTCACTTGAAAACCTGGAAGTCTCAATGATATTTTCAGAATAATTTTCATGAATCAATTATTATCATCTTCTTTTCGAAAATTCTCCATAATAATACTACGTTTTTATATTTTTTATGAATCTTTCTTGAATTGAAAACATTTCTCTGAACGATAAGATGAATATTATACTACAACGTCAACACTATTCTTTATGAACTCAAAATTGGAAGATAGTTTACCGTGTTCACATATTAATAATTTTGATATTGCAGGTTGATGAACCCCATTTGCATTCACAATCGGCTGTAAATCAAGCCCCCTTGCTGCCATACCCACCTGGTGAAGATTGTATACCACCCCCACCACAGCAAAATTACAATCAGCCACCCCCAAGAATGGCGCCTCACAATCCTCCATTATTACCCGATCCATATATGGGCCACAGAATGCCCATGTATTCTCATCAGCAAGGGCCACACTATGGCCCACCGAGGTATGATAGGCCGCCTTATCAGCAGTCTGGCTACAGATCCTCCCAACCACCGAGGAATTACAACGGACCCCCGAGGCCAATGAGGGGAATGCATCACCGTAAGTTTCATCCATATTAGAGATGCGAGCAAATTTCATGACATGTCAGATGACGGTCATGTGACTGTCACTGACACATCACGTTACCGATCAAATGTGACCGACTTACCTTATGACAGTCATATCGCATCTAAGTGGTGACGCCATTTCAGGTGTCCAAATTTTCTTTTCTGATTTTATCTGAAAGTTGGCGAAACTATAACCCCATGTCACCCCGAAGTAGATAATGAACTGTTGGACAAAACGTGACGAAACATGGCAAAACATGACAAAATTTTGTGACATGGAAAAAAATGACCGTCATGTCGCATCTATATGGATAATTTCTCAATGAAAAAATTTTATCTGACCGTTTTATTGACAAAAGAAGACATGACTGTCAATGACGGTCACATAACGGTCATATTTTTGTGACCTGACGGTTTTTCATTCGTGACGTCACCGCGAATCTCTAAACCATATGTATAAACTGCATTTCTACTGAAATTTACACTGATTTATTTAGTTAGTGTAGAGACTGAGTTGATGCAATTCCTCTTTGTAGGGGGATATCGAGGCATGCAGCCGCCACCACCTGGACTCGGTCGTAATATGCATAATGGAAATCAACCTGGGTAAGTCATTGAAAAATTTACCAACAATTGTCGGACAATGTTGATAAAACTTCTAAGGATCTTTAGATATTCTTTCCTAACAATACCACTTGTTTAACAATTCTTCAAATATCTTTCACAGCTTGAAGATTTCCAATGGTTGAATTTCTTAATTAAATTCCGGGAGAAAAATTGAAATTACATTTTGCACCAAACTACTTCTTTTTAAAACATTCCACTCTTATAAATAGCCAATCGTAATTGTTTAATCTTAATCTCCCATTTCTCGACATGAAAACCATTTCCCATAAAATTCTTAAATTTGTTACAATTTAAATTACTTATGAAAGAAAACGTCATAATTACTTATTAAAAAAACGTTCAATCATTTTATTAATCTTCTGCCACAACTAAACTTAGTTTCTTTTCCCCAAAATTTTTACATCGTTGATTAAAGGTTTAAAATGAAGAATAAATTTAGGCTCCCAATGTTTACGAAATACAATACTCTGTAAACTAGAGTCAAATGGCTAAAATGGAAGTGCAGATGTTCAACTAGAAATGTTAGAAGGCTTAAGACAAAAAAATAGCCGAGGTACCTAGATATTCTCATTAGCTAGTCAATTTACTTATCATTGAAAAAGAATATGAGATTATTTTCAATCGTTTCTCCAGTTAATTCTTAATTGAAGAATTCCATAACGATAGCAAAATTAAGAGAGATTCTCAGATAATTTGATGAACCCTTCTCTCAATATTTGTTACAGAGTTATAGATGATCCGCTGGAGGCATTTAACCGCATGCTGCGAGAAAAAGACGAGCGAGATAGGAGAATGGGTAAACACCGCAGACGCTCTAGAACTCGCTCAAGATCACGAAGCTACACGAGATCACGTTCTCGTTCATTCAGTCGTCGTTCACCGCCCCCATCTCGCATTAGTAGGTCTAGAAGCCCCCCACCAAAGAGAAGACCCTCGAGATCTCCACCACCTCGACGTAGCAGGACGCCGAAGAGGAGATCTCGTAGTGGAAGCTTCTCTATCAGTCGGTAAGAATTCAAATCATTATTTTTTTTTAGTTCAACAAATGTCTTCTTTTCCAACTCACCTATTCGCGTATTCATGTTTTAATGTATTGATCATTTGTTCCAGGTCAAGATCGTACTCTCGCAGCCAATCCCCAAGAGGTTCGATCCCTAGGGATCGAGAGAGGGAGAGGGATAGAGAACGCGATAGGGACAGGGAACGTGATTTGCCTCCTCGCTACAGATCACCAGCCAGATCGCCACCTAGGTAATTATTTTGCCCACAACGTGGCATTATATTCCCATACCACTTCCATATTAATTAAGTAATTGGAGAAGATTCGTTGATCTTCCGAACACAAAAATTGTCGAAAAATTATTGAAACCATATCATACTCTATATTATGCCTCTACTAGCGCATTTAGGAAATAAATATTGACAATTATTTATTCAATTACATTCAATAACATTCCATTAATTACTGGTTTGAGATAAAATGTTAAAGAACATTTTCTCCCAATACCATGAATTCCCAATATGAATAGACAATTAGTGAAAGAGAATGGACTGATTTATTTTCATCGATGAAACCAATAAATTAATGTTGAAATATATTTTTTATTTTTCAGATTCCAAAGAGATCGTGAACGCGACCGAGATCGTGGCAGATCCCGTGAGCCTCCCCGTGAATCTCGTGAACAATACAGCAGTTATTACAACGATTCACCAGCAAATGAGTACGGTTTTCGTGAGCGTGAACGTGACATATCAAATCGTGAAAGAGGATCACGTTATCCACCACGGAATCAAACGACTCCCCACAATATACCACCATTGCTATCACACGCAATACCACCAATGTCAATGGGTACAACACAACAACCGGAAAGGAAAGACTATTATGATTCCTACAACAGGTATTTTCGCATCAATTGTATTTTGTTTCGTGTATTTATTAAGTGCGCACTGAATATAACGAACGAGTATCAAATACTCGTTTCATTTCTCATTATTCTCGTTATTCGATTGATATATATCAAGAAATCATTGACACTGATGATAAACTGTGATGATAATTCAAAATGTTTGTTAGATAAATTCAATTACGATTAAAATAACTTATTTTCAATGATTAAATCCATGAGCAACGGAAAACACATGAAATACTGAGAAAGATCAATGAAACCTTTAAATATCTGGAAGTACAAAATAATTTTAAGGAAAATTCTAAACTGCGTACATGAATGAATGTGAGAGTAGTCCATTGAATGCATTAAAATAACTCTTAATATTTATTGAAATAATTTTTTTTATACAGTCATTAATGCATGTATGTCCAACTGGTGTCTACAATCGCATTTTTCATTGAATTATTGCACCGAGTATTGACATGTAAGGTTGGGTATAAATGAATCAATTGACATGAATTTACTGGACTGAGAGTGAGAGTGATGTTCCCTAGTATTAATGGATGAAGGATACTATTGAATTTAACTGATCGATATGAACACTGCGAATGTACCTGTAAACTAGTTTAAGGTAAAATGTAAGCAATAGAAACGAGTGAAACGAATTATCCTACGATATTTACGTAAACGAGAATTGAGATTGATCCCTGGAGGGATGAGTAATTAAAGACTGATGTCATAGATTGAAATTTAATCTTTAATGATATTTTGAAGAGAAAAAGTCAGCGGAATTTACCTATTTTTCACGAGTCTAGTCATTCGTAAAACCAACAAATTTTGTAAAAACTATATTCTCGAATGAATCATTGATAATTTTGAATTGAAATAATGTATGAAAAACTGTGATAATTGTACGAAATAAAGAAAAGCAAAAGAGATATAAAGTCCCATGATGAATGAAGAGGACGCGAGATTAATCTGGAGTTCCGGGCAGTGGACGAGAGAAGAAGCTTAAGGACACGTAACCAACTCGACACAACGACTTGGTTCTTGATTCAGGTGAATTCAGGACCAAATCAATACTTATAACTCAATTATCATCCTTATCCTCTGCAATTGAATGGTCAATATTTATTGAATCCTATTAACGACTATTCCCATGGGTTATAAATGTTGATTTAAGAAACTAATTTACATTTATACAGATTATATTCCAGTGAGAGTCCACAGGTGGAGGAAAATTGACAGCTAAATAAATTTATCAATAGTTAATTCCAGTTTTTCGAATTTTCAGCCTGGGCAGTAGGTGCCTCCTGTGGCAGCAGTTCATGAAAATTATACCGAGAGACACTCCAAATGCTTGACAAAACGATAATAGAGTATAGGTTTTGAACTTGTATACAAAAAGATATTCTTTTAAAAATAATAAAAAATATATATACTTTCGATTCTTTGGCTGGAGGTAATGGAAAAGTAGTTTTCCTGGAGTCATTTAATCCGGGATTTGAATAAAATATAAATTCATTAAGTGAATGATGAATGAATGGTCTAGATGAATGAATAGATTGAGTTTAGAAAATGGTGTGAGAGTCTTCAATAATCATGGGATTGGGGGAAATTTTAGTTAACAGTTTGTGGATCTGTTTCAGCAGGTATGGAGGTGGACAAACCCAGAGATTCAACAGTCCTGCTCGTGATCACAAGCGTTTCGATGATGTTGCCCCACCTGGGACAGAGGGGTATTATGATTTGCCACCTCCGGGAGTTGATCATCCTGAGAGATCGAGGGATGATCGCGATAGATCACGAGGTATCAAGGATATTGAGGACCATGGGAAGGATGGAGATGGGGAGGACAGACTACGTGATGATAGGTACATGTTGTTTTATAATTAAGGGGTAATTGAAAGCAAATAGTTGTCGTGGGGAATGATTTCTCTGGGGGGATGCCAGGCAGCTGACGTTTCTCATTGGACTTTGATAATTTCGAAGTATGAAAGGCCTGGGTTCTTCCTTTAATTGAGGTGCCAAGTTTCTTCAATATTTTTCACTCGTGGGATTGAACGAAAGGAAAAAATATGTCATAGGAATGCATCAGTTGTGACGATAATTAGTTGATTTCACCAATATCTTTGCAAGAAAATTCTATGAAGACATTTCATGCCATGATTTGTCTCCAGTAATTTAAAATTCCCATGAATACATAAAAATTCCCATGAATAGCAGTAACAGCACGAATAATCCTTATTCAATTCTCCAGAGTTCGAGATCGTGACCGAGACAGGGAGGACAGAGATCGTCGCCCCTTGGAAAGAGACAGAGATCGTGAGCGTGAACGAGAGAAAGACGATCGTGATAAGCCTACCTTACGTGAGAAAGACGACAGAAAAGAGAAAGACAGAGAGCGTGATGACCGATACCCTAGGGATCGCCGAGATGAGGAGCGCCAGTCGGACAGACGGGACTACGACGCGACTCGCTACAGGGATGACCGAGATCGTCACAGAGTCGATGAGAAGCCTCGAGGTCGAGAGAAAGACCGAAAGGATCGTGATTACGAAGTCGAAAAAGACCGAGATCGACACGAGAGGCATTCAGCTGATCACAAGAAATCTAAGAAGAGCTCAAGCCCCCACCCCCCGAAATCCCGATCTGAGAACAAGGACTCCTCCCCGGAGAGGCCCAAGAAGAAGGAAAAAGATCACGAGGAGAGGCCGGAGGAGAAGAAGAAGGAGAAGAAGATCAAGGACAAGAAGAAGAAGAAAGACAGCGAGGAGAAGGAGAAGAAGAAGAAGAAGAAAAGAGAGAAGAAAACTCTCAGGGAACTTGCGAAGAATGAACATGCCAAACTTGCTGCTGACTCTGACAACTTCTCTGTCGAGCCCAAACAAGAAGACACACCGTCAGACCTCAAACCCACCGAAATCAGCGAAGATCCTGGTGAATCTGCTGAAACAAGTGCACCAATGGCGCCTTCACTGACAACTGACTTTGATGATAAGTCATTAACGATGAATCCAGAGCCTCCAGAGTTCCCTGAACAAGATCCCCTTCAACAGATAGAGCCTGAACTGAGCCAAAATCCCCCCAATCCAAATTTCAAACCAATTCCAGAGTTGAAGTCAGACATGAAGCCGATAGAGAGTCTTTACGGTGGATTGGATGACACAGAGATCAACGCTGTGATAACAGAGAAATATACTCTCCTTCCTGAAACCGACAAAGAAGGTAAGATTGAAAATCTATCAGAATCCTCCCAAAATCCAGATGAAACTGCATGCACAACTTCGATATCTAGAGCAAGTCCTCCACGTGAAGAAAAATCCCCCAAGAGAGACGAATTCCTCGCGCCATTACCGGAATTATCAAAATGGGAGCGTGACGATACAATCGAAAAATCCGATGAGAATATTCCGGTATCACCTCAGCCAGCAGAGACACCCACTGATGAGTCAAAATCAACTAAAGTTGTGACGTCAGAGGTCCTAAAACGCGCTGAGAATGCGATATTCCAGAAAGCCATTAATGCTATTAGGCCGATTGAAATAAAGAAGATAAGCGAAAGTAGAAAAATACTTTATCAGAATCCCGAGCCAAAGATAGTAGAGCCAGAAGCTAATCGCGAGAGGAAGAGTGTTAATGTTACGATAAACGTTGGTAGAAATGAGAGGAACGTTGAGATCACAGAGCCCGTTAAAAAGGGAAAATTAGACAGATCAAAGTTCAAGGGTGAGTCGCACTCACCTACGAGATTATCCGCTAAGGAGAGATTGGGGGACAAGATTGAGGACGATAAGGAGAAGAAGCCGATGATCAGGCAGTTCGGTGATAAGAGGGAATTGATAAAGAGCGATGATCAAAATAGATCAAAGTCGCCAAAACTCAGGGAGAGAAAAATATCTCCGTTATTGGAGAGACGAGTGGAGCCACCAATGTCCCTGAACAGTGATCGTAAAGTATTCTTGGAGGATCGTAAGCACAGGCCTCTGCATTCGCGGGATGGAAGCGGAGGTAGACCTGAAAAACTCGAGCCCAGAGACTCCAAATCAGAAGGCAAACCTGAGTTTAGGCAGGGGAGGAATGACTATCGGTCAGAATCACGCGCTGAGAAGGATCGAAGGGCTAGGACGCCTCCTTCACACAAGAGAGACGATCCAATAAAGCCGAATCCATTGAAAAGAAAGTCTGAGGAATTGGAACCTGAGAAGAAGAGGGATAAGAAAGTTCGAGACGAGAAGAAACGAAAGAAGGAGCACAGGAGTCGCAGCAAGTCTCGAGATCGCAAGCGAAAGAAGGATAAGAAGCACAAGAAGGACAAGGAAAAGTCAATGGAGAAAAAGCAAAAGCACAGAGAGGAGAAGGCCCAGACTAGTGACGAAAAGACTGCCACGGAGGGTAATCCTGAGGGTGAACATGTCGCCAAGAAACAGAGGAAGAACCCCAGACTTGTTTCTGATCGCAAGCGATCGGTTCTGGATGAGGCGAGCTTCGAGCCGGATTACTCGGCATCGGATTCAGAGTCCGAAGGGGACGAGAGCAAAACTCTGAAGAAACCGAAGCTTGAGGAAGTCCCGGAGACAACTGAGAAGGAGTCTGACGCTAAAGTTGCAAAACGAAGGGTCAAATCGAGCTCAGACGATGACTCAAGCTCCACCGAGAGCTCCTCGTCGGAGACTGATAGCTCGGAGGACTCTCACAGAAAGCGCAAGAAGAAGCACAAAAAACATAAGAAGAAAAAAATGAGAAAGGAGAGCAGCAGTGACAGCGACAGTTGCTCAGACTCGTCTGACTCGAGCTCGGAGGAGGAGAGGCACAAGAAAAAATCCAAGAAATCGAAGAGCAAGAGTAAACAATCCAAGAAGAAGAAGAAATCCAAACACAAATGACGTCGTTAGTGTCGACGCATTGGTGCGTTGAACTGCGGTATGATTGCTAAATTTTTAATGGATCTTACTTGACTCGGTTCCCAATGAATGATAACAGGCTGAACACTCGAGGGAGTTTGAATGATAGTGGTCTAACGTGTAATTTAATTATTTACCTTTTCCAGGGCAACACTTTTGACTTTATTTAAATTATTCTTATTCTTTTGTGAAATGAGGATTGAGTCTTGAGTGGATGCTGTGCAAATACATCGGTTTGATTGTTGCATATAAGTTGAACATAATTATAATAAATGAAGTGAGGAAAAATTCAATAGAGTCGATATTATTATAATTATATTGTACTTTCATAATGTTCTGTCGATATTATAAAGAGAGAATAAACAGAGTAGTTCTTTAAAAAATAAATAAGGGGTATGAACATTCTTATAATGAACTGTGGAGTCTTTAATCAAATATTACCTTAAAATTAATTGGTTATAAATTACATTTGGAGTCGATTGAGGGGCACTTTTGGATGAAATATCATTTTAATAATTGGACTATTCTTGAGAGGTGTTGAGACTTCTGAATGTCTCCACGAGGCTGAAGAGGAGGGGTAATTTCTTCGTGTTGTCAGTCTCTTTTACTCCCAAGTCCTGGGCTAGGAATGTACGATCCAGGGGTTGTTTTCCAAATTCACATTCTGTGGGATGAAAAAATATAAAATTATCACAATTTTTAATTCAATTTGAAGAGGATTTTTCTAATTCATTTAAGGATGTTCTGATTGACGCGAAAAAATATACCGTTTTTGCGTTTCAACATTATTCAATAACTCACGAAGTTTCGTCACTGCAACCATTTTTCTACGTTTTTTCTAAACTTTTCGAAAGATTTACAAAAGTTGAGAAAAAACGTAGTTGAATGGTTGCACAGTGATAAAACTTCGGGAGTTATTAAATAATAATAAACTGTGTAAACGGTATATTTCTTCGCGTCCATCCGATCAATAGTTTGTGAGAAATCTACAAAACAAAAAACGTGAAAATTGCCTGACAGGGGGCAGACCATCCCCAAGGATATCCAAGTACTTTGGCTGTCTTTTCGCGAGTAAAATGCTTCTCTACCTTTGTAGTCGAACATCAGAGCTTTCATTTAAGCCCTATTTGCCGCCAAGTTTCTGGACATTTTACAATGATTTTATTATTTAAACTTTGCACCGTTAAAAAATATTTTTAAAATCTGAAAAAAAATTGAAAAAATGTACTTTTGGAGGAAGATTGATGAAATGATTTATAAACAATCAATTTTCCCTCAAAAATCGTTTGTTCAAAATCATAACAAATTTATTCATATGCAGAATTTTACTAGAAATCGATTTCATGCCTAAAAAAAAATGTTTCCGAAAGTTTAAACAATTTCAATTATTCATTCATAAACAACGAATGTATAAAAAAAATAATTATTCTGTTCAAAATGTAATTGAATGACGCTGAATATTCACGATTTTTTTCAAATTGTCCTCACATCTTAATTGATAAATTTGATGATTGAAAATGATTGAGTCTACATTGTGCTCTGCAGGGATAGCCATATTCATCAATTATAATTACGTAATTATTAATTTAAATATTCAAATTCCGAATTATTTATTAATCAGTAATTTAGTTACGAAGATTGACGATTATTTGGATAATCGGAAATCCCTTATAAGAAATTCAGTATTATTTACTTAATAGAAAATTAACAGATCCATATTATTAAATATTTATTAATTTGACCCTAAATTTTCCAGTTTATTTGTTATTAAATTTAGATTATCAATCATCTAGTATTTTTAAATTTCGATCTGTATATTTAAACCTTGATCAATGTAAGTCGGACATTCTTTTAATATTGAAGAATCGGAAGATCGATGGCCATCCCAGGTGCTCTGCTCCAAACTGTAAAAGACACTAAGATATCCTTAAACTTAAAAAACGATGAAATAATTACCTGATATGAGAACATTTAACGTGTATTTGTACCCAATCCAATCCAAATACTCTCGTATCAACTCATTCAAAATAACAACGTCCCGCGGGGACTCGGGCCTCTTCCCCCGATTAGACGCTGCAGAACCATCCAACAATTTCATAACTTCACTGCGCATCTCCGCTTTAATCCGCCCAAGTTCACCCCCCGCTTCGAGGGAATCCCTCACCGCTGCAACGATCATCCAAAATAATAATCAATTCATGCGATAATACTTGGAAATATTAAATTCAAATCTCACCGTTCACCAAGTCTTTCTCCGTAGCCATTTTCAAACAAACGAAATATTACGGAATTTCATTATTTCTCCATCTAGCGAGCATCGACGAGAGCCGACGTAATTGAAAAAAAGTGCCGATAGGTTCCGCAAGCTTCGACTCTTGAAAATCGCGCAAAAACTGAATCGATGATTTTTCCAACCCTCGTGCATAATCGATCAATTTTCATCTCCAGCATTTGATTGACGAAGACAGTCCACTTATTGCTCTCATAATAATTAATCCAATTAAACTGAATAATTTGTCAGTAGATCCTATCAGGCGACGCACAAATGAACGAAATCAAAGAATTTAAAATTCAAGTTTGACACCGCGAGGAGTGAATTTCATTCCCATTCAGTCCTCCACATATTTGGTCTGCGTTCTCCCCATTTTGACAGCTGATAAACCCACATAACTGCGTCCACACATCCAGAATTCATAAAGAGTTTGTTGAAGCGAGAAGAGAGGAGTCTGTCTGGCGCGTGCGCGAAAATTATCCTCAAGTGCTTTGAATTTTCCGAGAGCTCCCTCAGTCGCTCTAAGATGGACGGTGGTGGAGCGTACGGTGGTGGTAAGGCTGGTGCCCCATTCGACCCAATTTCATTCGTACAAAGGCCTCAGGTTATTCTAAAAGCAGTATGTCTGGTGAGTAATACAATAAATAATCAAATAACGCTATTACTCGTCCTTCCTCAATTCAGTAAAATGAAAATACACGGGAGCATTGAATACATCGATTTCAACAGCCCTTGCCCCCACCCCTCGCGCTGCCCTTCGCGCCCGCTACGATGGGGATGTTCTATTGATTTTTATGAGAATTAACCCAATAGAATCACCATCACGACGAGCGCATGAGATTCTCTCACGATTTAACGCTTTTAGAATTTCTTCATTTCAATTTTTGTCATTTATGGTCCAAGGGTAGTTGGTTGGGGGTTGATCCACCGATCGATACTCGGCGCAAGGGGGGATTGAAAGGGTGAGGTGAGGGGCGGAAGGGCGATTTTAATCTCCGATGCATGCACTAAAACTGTGGCAACTCACGTACATTCTTAATGCACTTGAGCCTCTGCTACCTGAATTGAATTAAATTTCCCCTGTCATCCCTCTTGTTAATTACGAATAATGCCAAGGCATGATAATTTATTTTTTCAACCCCACCAGCTCTTCTCGATAATTGTCTTCGGTTGTATAAGCAGCAAAGGATATAGGAATGATGAGAGTGGCAAAGAGTACTGCCTCTATAACAGAGACGCAAATGCATGTAACTATGGTGTTGGCATTGGAGTCCTGGCATTCCTCGCCTGCATCGGATTTCTCGTTGGTGAATATCTGTTTGAACAAATGTCATCGGTGAAAACACGGAAACATTACGTTCTAGCTGATCTTGGGTATGAATTTTGAGTTATGAAACGAATTATGTAATGAATACGGAAAATTATTGTTTGCGAGCTGAGGATGGAAGTATTTGTGTCAAGGATTTAGCTTCGGGCTCTTGCTGTCTCTGAGAATTGTTCAAGTGTTGAATGTTGGGGGTGAGAAATTTGGGGGTTGAGGACATTTTTAGACCGCAAATGATCGTTTTCTTTGGAATGTGGGGGAGTGAGACGAAATTAATGGAGAGTTGGGGGAAATTAAGCTTTTCACAGAAACGTGGAAGTTCGAGTGGTGCAAAAGTATATGGATTTTCTCAGATAGATTCAGAGATATCGGCGTTCAGAGGTGCTCCATTTTGCTCACTGTCTTCGATGATGATGAGAACATTCTTTTAATTTGAAGCTAAATGTAGACAAGCAATTTGAGTGGGTATTAGTCAATGATTGAATGGATATTGAATCTTTAGTATTGTGGAAAATTTGGGAGTTGATAAGATTTATAGACCGCAAATAATCACTTTCTTTGCAAAGTGGGGGAGTGAAGCAAAATCGATGGAGGGAATCCAAGGAAGTTGGGCTTTTGAAGGAAAACTGGAGCATTGAGGGGTGAAAAATTTTATAGATTTGCTCCGACACATTCAGAGATATCGGTCATCAGAGATGCTCTATTTTTCTCCGCGCTCATCTGTGTCCTAAGATTTCGCATTCGATAATGTTAAGATGTTTCCGTTAATATCGAGCTGGATGTGGGCAAGGAATTTCAAAGAAAATAAACCTTGATAATTCAACGCATTTTGAATTCCCACTATAACCGGTAATTTGGTGGGTGAGGACATTTTTAGACCGCAAATGATCATTCTCTTGGAAAAGTGGGGCAGTGAAGCAAAATGGATGGAGAGAATTGAAGGGAGTTATGCTGTTCAGAGAAAATTGGAGCATTCAAGGGTGAAAATTTTTATAGGTTTTCTCCGATAGATTCAGATGTCGGTGATCAGAGATGCACCACTTTGCTCCGCTCCCACCGGTGTCTTCGATGATATTGAGAAATTTCCGTGAATATGGAGTTAAAATTGGAGAAGAAATTTCAATCATATTATTAGAGTCAATGATTCAATGAATATTGAAGTCTCAATATAATTGGAAATTTGGGGGTCAAGGACATTTATAAACGGAAAATGATCATTTTTGTCATTCCGGGCATAAGGTAGCGCATCACGGACGCTAATACGCGTCCGTGAATCCCTGCCTGCTACTGCTGTTATGACAAAAAATATTACTTGACACACGGCCTAAATGAGCTTTTCTAGTTCATTCGCCAGAAACGGTTTTTTCGGCCCAATGACGAAATATACTAGTTCGTCACCTCGTCTTCGGCTCAGCCTGTAAACTTCACATTCGTCGAAAACGAAGTTTGTGCCCTTGTACTGCAATGTACTATTCTAGCTCATATGATTGCAACCCTTGGCTTCGTCTCGGGCCGCCAACTTCACACTCGTGAAAATTCCGTCTTACTCGTATCGAAATACACTATTTCATCACGCTGTGACGAAAAGTGAACTTTTCGGCACGCTCTGCGTGCCTAAAAGTCCAATTTCCGCCACATTGTGATGAAAAATATTGTTCGTAACTCGTGAAAAAATGTTTTTTAGCTCGTGGGATTATATCACTCGCCAAAAAACACTTTTTTGCACTCGTTACGAAATATACTATTTTAACACTGCTGCTACGTTCACCTCGTGCCAAAAAGTGCCTTTTTGCTTACTCGTAAACGAAAAAGACACAGTTCGGCCAATAGTTGAACGTAACATCACTGTCCGAAAATATTGTTCGACACATGTTCGCTCGGCTTCGCCTCGGGCCGCCAACTTCACACTCGTGAAAATTCCGTCTCACTCGTATCGAAATATACGATTGTCGGCCGTGTGACGAAATGTACTATTTTGCCATTTTATTCGTGAAGCCTCGCTTTACGTCCAAACGCTACGCCAGGGTTGCAATCACACTCGTCAAAAACGTAATTTATAACGTAACGACTAACGTAAGAATTTTTAACGAGAAAAATTCTAACGAATTTTTAACGAGAAAATTCTTCGTCACTAGATCAAAATATACTATTTCTTCGGTAACAGAGGGGAGAGTGATACGCTCATTTCGAGGAACTAATTGAGAATTCAAACGAAAATGGGGAACTTTTAGTGAATATTCCAGGGGATTTTAAACGTTCTCAGTTCAACGTTTGAGTTTCAAAATTGTACTGAACATGCGCTTTTGCAGCCGTAAAGACAATCAAACATTCTTCACGCCCTTTGTTTCGTTTTAATTACAGATTCTCCGGTCTTTGGGCATTTTTATGTTTCATTGGATTTTGTTATTTAACTAATGCATGGAACAAATCAGTGGCACCAATTGACGGATATGGTGTTAATAATGTTCAAGGAGCCATTGCATTCTTGTTTTTCTCCATATTTTCGTGGGTAAGTGATCAAGCAATGCCTATTTACGCCGAAAATTCATTCGTGTATTGATTTTTCTCAATTATTCGAATGCATTTCACAAAATAATTGAAAAAAATTGATATTTACGAATGAGAAAATTTATAGAGCAAACAAATTTCCCTCCTGCTGGTGCATTTAAAAAATACGATATTACAGGCGGGGAGTGCTTGGTTTGCATTCCAAAGATTCAAGCAAGGTACAGACGCTGCGTTTGCCCCGAGTTACGAGGCAGATCCAGTCGGTGGTGCTGGCTACACAAGTTATCCAGACGCACCAGACAGCGCATACCAGGAGCAGCCCTTCCCCCAGCAGCAGCAGCAGCAGCAGCAACGAGGTATGACTGATTTCCAGGCTCCAGCGTATTGAGACCATTGATGTTAGTTTCAAAAAAAGCAAAAGAAAAAAAACATCAATTGATTGAGAATAAAAAGAAAAAATTCAATGTTTACGATAATTCAAACGTTATTGCACCGCGGCAAAGCCACTTAACTTGAAAACAACAAGTAAAGTAATCAAATGAGATTAATAATAATAGGAAAAACAACAGAAATTGATTATGCTGGGCGAGACCCTAACTCTCCATAATAATTCCCTCGACTTTTCTTTCATTATTTATTGATGATAGCTCTATTTTCGAGCATTGCCATGTTATTGCTAACGTTATTGAATAACAATCCATCTCAATAGAATTTCATTCCTGCTTTTTGTATGATATAAACAAATTTCAATGAATATAAGAACTTCATTTTTCGGTGTACCTATATTTTAACAAAACCATGAGAATGAATAAATAAAAGAGAATGTACACGTGAACTGTGAATTGAAACGGGCCTCAAATGACCGTACAATATCGTCGATTTCGTTGAATAATTTACCTAGAATTGTAATGACAAGGAATCACTGATGTATCAGTGATTATATCAATGTGACGAGGAGTCAAACAACAAAGCGTTGTATAGTTCGTTGAGGTGCAATTGCACCGAATGCTTGATTCATTTGAATTATAAAAATACTCACACAATAAAGTTAATAAGAACAAGAGGAAAAATTTCAACATCGTGACTGTGCAGTTAGTAGATTTAATAGTAGATCATTATCAGATTATTTATTGATTAAGTAAATGCTGAAAAATGTCTAGCGGAAGGTTCTAAACTGTAAGAGATCAGAGAAGAAAAATCTATATTTATTGCATATGATACCGATACGCTTCGGCGTATCTCGATGATATTTTGGGAGAAAGAACCAATTGGGAGGAGGTGGTGATTGCTTTTGAGATATCTTTCTGTCGAATTTCTGTGCTTTAATTACTTGTTTTTATCTAGGGCCTTCCGATCAGTTTCTCGCGGTGTCCGGATTCTGTTCTCGATCCACAGAAAAAGTAATTCTTCCAAATTTGAGGATTATTACTTCGATAGTAATTCTTTTGCTTGAAAAACTCGATAGGGTTTTATTCTAAAATGGAGAATAGTTAATGTATTGAGGTGAAAGAAATGCGTTCTTTTTTCGGTTTAGGGTGAAATTTGTTTATTTGTTTATTTACTTTTTCATACCACAAGATATTGGATATACTACTCTTAATTCGAGAATTATTTATTTTTTCTATGTATAGAGTTTGTGTGCGAGTTAGTGCACTTGGCAATGCAGTAGTAAGATAGCTGACGATATTCACATGAGGGAATTTATGTGTTTTAGAGGAAAACAGAAGAAAACGTAAAGCGTCTAGAGTAGTGGATCATTAATTGCAGTCTTGGCAGCGATAAGAGATGAATTTGCATAATTTTTTAATTTACGCATGATGAATGGTCGAGTGATGTCTGACCACCCGCCAAAAACTTTTCATTTCGTGTTGATCATTAGCCATTAATCAACTGCTGAACTATCACTACCACTGATTACTGAATGACTGATAATTGTTTAAACGTCGAATTTTGTGGTTTTGACTCTTTCAAATATGCTTGGGAGAATTTAAACTGCAAAGGTTTGAGTTCAATCCACTGATACGTTGACATTCGATCGAACCACATGTACCTGGTTTTTGATTATTTAATTTTCACAAACTCCAATTATTATTTAGATTATAAAAAAATAATCATGAGTTGTGAATTGGTATAGTTGTGTAATTGTTGCGAGTCTGGGACTGTTCCGTGTATTGATTGAGATGAATCTAATTAGCATTAATTCGATGTGTATAATCCCAGTGTGAGTGAAGTCTTGGCAAACAGCCTCAAATTTCAGTGCGACTGTATGAATGTTATTCATGTGTAATCCGATAGTATTATTGAACTTGCGAGTTATCCGTAGATTGTGAAAACAATGAAAACCCAAAAAAATGATAAAACCAATTAAAGTAACGAATGTAATGAACAAAATAAATATATTAAACAATATAGCTGTATTATAAAACAAACGTGGAAAAATGAGAGGTCATGCGGTTATCAGCACATTGGGATAAATGCACGTACAGTGTTAACATCCATTGTGCTCTTCTATTCATTTTCTTCCTTGAAACAGAGAAAAATATGACAACTTGCTCTGAATTTTATTGTGAAAAAAACTGGTATCTCGTTTTTGTTGTGTTTTGACCAATATGTTTCATAATATAAAATAAATAGAGTTATAATTAAAAAACTATTCTGCAATCTTCTTTATTATTTTTTTCGATGATTCCTTTATGCAATGAAGACATTTCCCTTTTAACATTCTCATTTTATTTCATCCACTTTTCAAGTTTTCACGTTTCATCGCAGAACCATTAGTTTCCGAGATGATTGCAGGCTTGAGGGGAATCCAATTTATCACGTTTGACCACTCCAATCTCGAATTCATCAATCAAATGATTCATTCATCCATTTATTTATTAATTTATGATTATTAAACATACATAATGCGATAGATTTCATTGTGCCCATATGTTTCATAGCATATATTAGAATCATAATCTGAAATTAAATTGATGTTAGTTTATTTCTTAATTTTGTCTTCGTTAATTCGTTTCGTTAATTTCGTGAAATATTAAAGTCGGATGGAAAATATGAGATACGTATTGTTTATTTTAAAAAATCAAAAAGTTAAAGAAAAATTAAAATTGAAGTTAAACGGTATTATATTAATTTGCAAGGATATCGAAATTTTCAAAAATATAAAGATACTTTTCTAAAATGATTGTTTAGACCGCATCTCCTTTTTGCAAAGTATGGATTGGACTATCTTCGGTCAGTCGTAAGTACTCCAAGCAACGAATAAAAATGTAAATAAAACTCCGTCAAGTATGAAGTTAATGGATAAAAAAATGCAAACATAAATTCATCAATTGAATCCAGTCTGTATAGTTATCACAAAGAGGAAGAATTGTATGTACTTCATGAGAAAAAAATATCCCGCTTCACCAATCGTTTAATAAACAATTAACATTTCAAAAAAAGTCAAGTGTCCATGTTACCCTACTATGCTCCATGAGAAAATTTTTACAGAAAAGATCTGACATTTTACTCAACTTAACAATTCCACTTCGATCTTTAATTCATGAAATAGTAATTGCCAGGGTTGGGCGTGTAATAATTACGTTGGTAAATTACACCGTTTTTTACCGACGTAATTTACGTAAATTACCTCGACGGATTTTTTACATTTTTTACATTCCTTCGAAAAGCTTGCAATTTTCGATTACTAGAATGTTTTATTTTATTCCGAGTGACGAAGACGCAGTATTGGACACAAAAAATAGTATATTATGGCCCGAGGACAGATAAACAGCGAATTTTAATTTCACTTTGTTCGGTTAGAATGCGGTTCTCGATACTTGAGGCATAATAGTATATTTCGTCATTAGGCCGAAATAGTATATTTCGTAACGAGTGCAACAAAGTGTTTTTTGGCGAGTGGGAGGTTTATATCACGAGTCGAAGGCGAGTGATATAATCCCACGAGCTAAAAAACATTTTTTCACGAGTTACGAACAATATTTTTCATCACAATGTGGCGGAAATTGGACTTTTAGGCACGCGGAGCGTGCCGAAAAGTTCACTTTTCGTCACAGNGTGCCTAAAAGTCCACTTTTCGTCACAGCGTGATGAAAAAAACTTTTATGTCCCCGGAATCGTAAAACTGCGATTCTAACATCGATTTCCTCGGTTAAATCGCGATTTTCGGGTCCAGAGACATAAAATATTGTATGCCACACGGTGATAAAACTATTTCCTGACTCGAGTGATTAATCCTCGATTACGAGGTGAGACCCTCGTGGTTTATCACCCTTGCGAGGTATAATCTTCGCGAAGCTTCACGGTTTACGATATAGGCCTTCCAGTAGAATCTTTCCCTTCGTTTCAGGAGTGGGAGACACGGATACAGGTGGGAATCACGTGGAGTGGGGGTACCCTGGGAAGGGAAAACTTCTTCTAGAACTATATTAAAAGGTGACGTCGGCTGGTTTTTTACATTTTACGCTGGTAATTGCGCACACAGCTAACGCCAAACTTCTCTGCACTGCTAAACAAGGATAGGTAGGGCCCGGGAGTATCTCTCTCTGGCTAAACCTACGCAGCTTCCCCCTCCAACATGCACAGTCGAGGTATAATACGTCTATGTTCATTTCCGCCCTATACTTCATGCCACATCAACCATTAGCCAACTTCAAGTATGTACGAACTTATTTTGACGATACAACACAGAAGAGCAAGTCCTTTAGTTTATGTTTGTTTTTTTTATTTAATTTTAATTTGGTTTAATTTGGTTTAAAACGCACGTGATCGATAAATATGGCAGATCCATTGAGTGTTTTGAGACAGTATAATGTCAGTAAGAAGGAGATAATTGAGCGTGAGAGCCAAATTATATTCGGAGAGATATCCTGGCCAAAGAATGTGAAGACGAATTATCTAACTTATGGGTGAGTTTCATATGAATTTTGGCATTCCCAACAATAATCACAAGCAGCATATTTTATCATGATCATGATTACTCCGAATTTTCTCCTGTGCCCACCATTATCACTCCAAAATATCGGAAAGATTATATTCTTCATGCCATATTTTACGCAGACTGTGTTATACTCGGTAATTGTACCACGTGACTTATAACCACAGTTGTGTTAATTGTTTATGTTATTTCAATTCATGTTCCACTTCCTTCATATTTATATTTCCTTTCATTGTTTTCGTTTCGACGGATTTATCCAACGCTTCAGGCACTCAAAAAGTTATTGATATTTTTTTTCCTAACTGGAAGAGTCGTTTTCTTCATGTTAATAACAAGTTAAGTCCACCAACTCGAATTAATTATTCAGAAATAACAATAAAATCACGTGGGGTTAGATATTGTTGTGTATAGCGCTCCCTACATGACGTACAGTAAAATCTCCAAGATGAATATTTCTTGTAGGAATTCAATTTTTCGAACGTTATTCCATGATGAAGAGTTTACTATAATTAAGAAACATGTCATCTTCCACTCGATGGAGTCTCGCGAACAATTTCTGTAAGACCGATCTAAAAAATCGTCGACAATAAGAACAAGTTGACTTTATAGAGTCAACATATTCTTTTCGTTTCTGGGAAAATGTAATGACTCACAGAACTAGGTTCACTTCATTCTATCAATGGATAACATTCCCTAAAACAACTATTAAATTCCAGATCTGGTAAAGAGGGAGCCCCCAAGGAGTACTACACACTCGAGTGTCTGCTATTTCTCCTCAAGAATGTCCAACTCACCCATCCCGTGTACGTCCGTCAGGCAGCGGCCGAAAATATCCCGGTGGTACGTAGGCCAGACAGAAAGGACCTTCTGGCGTATCTCAACGGTGAAACCGCCACCTCCCTGGCCATCGACAAATCAGCTCCCCTGGAAATACCCACTCAGGTAAAACGAGCAGCCGAGGACATCCCAGAGCACCCCATCTCAAAGAAACCAAAATACGAAGAGACAGACGTTCAAAAGGTGAAATTACAATTAGCAGCAAGATTAGACGCCCCCAAGGAGTCCTCCGTCACCGTCGACAACATTAAATCTCTCTCTGAGGCCATGTCAGTCGAGAAAATCGCTGCCATAAAAGCCAAAAGATTAGCGAAGAAACGAACAACGATCAAAGAAAATGACGACCTCGAGAATGGCACTGATCTCCGAGTGATTTTAGCTGACGACACGATTGTATCAAGAGAGAGGCAATGGAGAACGAGGGATACGATACTTCTGAGCACAGGTAAAACTTTTGGAAAGAACGTCTTCGCAATTTTACAGAGTTTGAAAATTAGGGAAGAGGGGAGGAGGCACCCACCAGCAGATAAGCCAAGATCGGCACCTCTGAGGCAACTGCCACAGCCCACAGTCTACAGCAGATACGACCAGGAACGTTTCGTTCGACAGAGAGAGGAGACGGAGGGTTTCAAGATCGATACTCTTGGGACTTACCATGGAATGACACTGAAATCAGTGACAGAGGGCAGCAAGCCTGTAATCAAGAAAGAATCTGTCCACAATCCACCAACACCATCAGGATTACTGCCAGTGTCTGCTGCCAAAGCATCTCTCCAAGGTGTCCAGAAGAAGAGGCCCAGCAAAACTCCCATCATCGTCATACCCAGTGGCAATACCTCGTTGATCACAATGTACAATGCAAAAGACATTCTTCAGGACCTCAAGTTCACCCCTGCGGAAGATAAACGTGCAGCTGGATGTAAACGCGAGAGTGAGATGCTCATACAGAGGAGGAAGGAGGGAGGATTGACTGTGCCATATCGAATAATTGATAATCCAGGGAAATTGACTACTGAGGATTGGGACAGGGTTGTCGCTGTCTTCGTGATGGGACCTGCCTGGCAGTTCAAGGGGTGGCCCTATGGGGGTAGTCCTGTGGAGATTTTCTCAAAAATTTGTGCCTTCCATTTGAAGTATGATGAGATGAGGCTCGATGCCAATGTCGCCAGGTGGGCTGTTACTACGATTGAACTCAGTCGGAGCAGGAGGCATTTAGATCGAGCCAATCTTATGAGATTCTGGGAAATTTTGGATAAGTCAGTAGTTTATCGCCTTCTATTTATTTATTCATTGCTATTTTTGCTACGATGGGAATCACCCTTCAGTAGATCCCAATCAATGTATTTCACCTGAGAAAAATTGGCTTCTAAGGTCTTTAAGATAGTTACGACCATTTTACTGAGATGAAGAAATTCAGTGATTTTAATAATTTCACAGCCGTATCCGATATCCCCTTGAACTTTGGCAGATTGTCTGAAGCTTCCACTGAAGCTTTTAACCCTAGATTGGTCACCCTATAAGGGAAACCCCGCCGCGCGTCGTTTCTCTTTAATTACAATTGACTGGCTAACCGGAATTTTTTTTAGTTTTGAGAGCAACATATTTCCCAAAATTACTAAACAAAAATTATTTCGAACAGATGAATTATTTTTTCCCATGTTAAATGAAATTGTAGTGTAAAGTGAATTCGACAACGCTAAAGCCTAAAAACACGGCGGCGAATCCCCGCGGAGGTGACCAAAGTCGCAAGTTCGCATTTTTTCGCATTGACCAGACTAGGGTCAATAAGGCCCGATCAATATATTTTGCATGAGAAAAATTGGTTCTGAACGTTCCTCTAATATTTCGTACGCTTTTGATAGACGGGGAAATTCCGTAATTTCAAACTATTTTGCGATGACACCTGAGATCGCACCGTTTTCCTACTAGGAATCGCAGAATTTGAGGAATGAAATAATTTTTTCAATGCTTTTAGTCGAAAAAATAAAAAACTGCTCAGACGACCGTAACCAAAATTTAATTAGCTCTGAGTCAAGTGAAGACGCTTCGATTGTGGGGTCGATGACCTGGATTGCATCGTTAGGTCGCGAGAAATCATTGACCAAAATTTTTTATCACAGATACCTCTGCAAACACACACACACACACGACATACATACATCTATCCAAGATTATGTTAGAATAATTACAAACGTCATGAGATATTATAATATTTCCACTCTTGATTGTCGGGGCCATTACAATAACTTCCCTATGTCGGGAAGTTAAAAAATGGACATTAGTTGGGAAAAACTAGATTAGATATGCATTGCACGTCTCCTCCGACAGTTCACTAAAATCTGCAATTTTTAAGATAATCTGAGATCCAAAAGGTATTGCCTAATACCTTTAATGCCTAAAAATTTGGAAAGAAAATATTTTAAAAACTAGCCGATTGGAATTTTTGAACGGAAGCTCTTGAAATAATTTATTCTCAAGATATTTCTCGAGTAAATTTGACTAGATATTATTTTAATACAATTTTTTCATGTTTTTGTTGCAGACATATAATGAAGAACAAACCCACCCTGCGTTTTTAATCTAAAGATGGGATTCTTTTCGTGGAATATGAATTTAGTGACGTCAATAAATGAAGAAAAGATTGATAGGCATTGTATAATAGTTACGTGGTTCTGGTGTCGATTCTGTTGTAGAAACCAAAGGACCGTTAGTAAAGTGATGTCTGGTGATGGTTTATCAGGAATTCATGTTTCCTGCGAATTCATAATTCTTCCCAGCTAGGAGAATGGGAAACATTGACAATCAAATATATTAAGATGATTTTACAGAGTTTAAGGGAACAGGGAAAATTGCTGAATTTTCATGTGAAGAATAAAAAACAAAGTTGGAAGATCATCAGGATTGTTCCTTTAATATTTCCATCCCAAAAATTTTCTCCTTCGGACTGGTTATAGAATAGTATATTGTGTCATTGCAGCACGAGTCGGTAAGTCAGAGACGTGGCTCGCCGAAGCAACCCCCCCCCCCC